GGTTTTACCATGTTTCCTCTCCATAAATGAGGACCTCCTACATTTTGCCAAAGTACTCTCAGTCATTTGAGGCAGTATAAAAAGGTAAGCTATTTTGTCAAGCCTATGATAGGGCAAGATCGGGTTGTAGATATGATGCAAGACATTGAGTGAAGAGGAGTTAATAAGTTAATGGGGTGTAGTGGTGATTGGTCATACACTTGTCAGCCTGATGACAAGGTAGATAGATGTTTAAAGTCACTCAAGAAGAGGCACGAAGGCCTTAAAAAGACACCTCAAGTTATTATTATGTAGCTTCTCATGACGTTTAATAATGAATGTCATTCTAATGCATCTCTACGCTGTATGGTGATACAAAAGAAAACTGTGGTCCATGAACACAGACAGTTTTTTAAATGTGCGTTGGTGCATCCGACCCGGTACAATTACACGACAGGTAAGTTAACCTCATCATCTCAGCATAGTTATCAACGTTACATAAGAGTATTTTAAAGTATCCCACAACTGACCTGTGCATTTTGCAGAACTTTCCATAAGTTGCTTACCCACGATGTCTCCTGCATCGGGCAGCCAGAAATCCATTGGCAATTAAGAGCAGCACAGAAAATTGTCTCACTGTTCGCCGCCATCGCTGAGTGCACGTAGGGTACAGCTACAGCAACACTGGGAGTGAATTTGAAGAGTGACATTTCTGGCGAACAGACATGGTCAGAGGTGTGAATATGGTCCTCGTCAGTTTGAGGACTCCTCATTTTCCACAATGCAGAGGAGCACTGATGAACTTGTTGCTAAAAATCGTTAAAAGCTTTAGACAGCATGAACGACGAAATCGTTTTGATTATCTATGATTTAAAATCCAATGCACACTTCGCTCGTTTCTTGCAAAGTTGATTTGTCTTCATTGTGGGTAAGGTATTTATTCTTCGGGAAACTTAGTTCCCTCATATGACTTTCAAGCAGCCACCTTAGAACTTGGGAAATATTATGAGCTCAATAAGCAATGATAACGAGTTGTACATCTCTGTGCTGC